ATTCAGCCAAATCCTTTCAACTTAGGTTCATTGCACCAATGCTGCTCTCCTTGGCAGCAATGATTAAAGATGAAAATTTGTACTCTTGAATGGATTATTTAATTAACTCCTATGTCCTCTGCTAGTCTCTAAAGTCCTTCTGGAGGAAAGATTGTTTTTACTGACTGCTGCAGCCCTAGTACCAAGAAGAATATCCAACCCATGTGCATTCAACAAATATTTGCTGACAAAATTAATATAAACTGGTTACTCTCTGATTCCTTGGCAGGCTTTTGCTTTCCTGCCTCTGGCATTTCTTTCTCCTTATTCCCTCTATAAAAGAAAGGTTTAAAAGTGTGATTTGCATGTTTTAATCTCGAAGTTTTTCAATTGTATATATAATAATGATGGTTAAATTTTTATGCTGTGTTTACTTTATGCAAGCCATCATTCATAGTATTTATATTAATTCATTCAATATTCATAACAATCCTGTGTGGTAGGATACATTATGTTTCACTGAATCTAAGAGGCATTGATTATAAGACTTACAAATATTTTGTTAATTGAACTATGAAATGTAAGCTCTGTTTCACAAATGAGAATATACGATAAAAGGTAATGAGAGGTTTAGGAACTTGCTTGAGAAGGCTGATGTTAATAGCGATGGAGCCAGGATGCAAACCAGGTGGGGTCGTGCCAAAGCCTGTGCTGTTGGCCCTGGTATCGTCTTGCCACCCCACAGTAGTCACACATCTGGCCTGTTTTAGCATTTCTCAGATCAGATAGAGCCATCCCAGTAGATTTCAGGCAAGGCACAAATAAACATGATACGATCCCCTTGACTGTCATTATTTGGCAGGAAAATGTGACATTGCCTTTAAAATAAAATAAACTGTACTGTAGTAAAATAAACAAGGATATATCCCATAGTAGAATGCAAAATGTATCCAAAGTTTTAGATTAAATCTAAGACATGATTGCTCTTCAGTTACAGTGTCTCATATTTTCTGAGCTCCTTACTTTGTGGTCAGGTAGACATCAAAGGAAAATGTGAAAAAGCTCTGAGTGTTGTGGGTGTCTCTTGTTTTCACATACACTCTTCTGAATACTTAAAAATTGAGACAAGTAACTTAGAAGCAGAAGCTCTGCTACTATACATCTTGTGAGCTGACTGTTCAGATTGTCAGTAGGGCTAGAGTTGATCAGACTAAGAAAATAAGTTAATGTTTAAACTAATAGACATAAGCCTGTTTGTCTTTGGTCATTTGAAAGTCTGTAGGGTCCCCCAAGTTGCCCTTACTTTTTTCTTTGAACTGATGAAGAAACACAGAGCGCCTTGACCACTTTGTGACTGGGCCAACTGTATGTATTTTCTTTCATGCTTGAACCCCAGCTAAGGCACAGAACATTTCCAGGCACTGATAAACTTATTTAGATTGTTGCTCGAAACACTAAAAAATCAAACATGTTGCTAAATACATGAAAACTAGCCCCAGCCCTAAACCAAATTCCTTAAATCCCCATATGAGCTCTAGAACTTAACCCCTTCTTTGCAGACATATCTAGATGAAACATCCCTTTTCTCAATGTTTGTTTCAAGGACTCTGTAGCACTCTGTATGTCAGTTCCTAGTTATGCTAGTAAACAGTTCGGACAGATCACCCTGGTATTTAGTGCTTCTTTCTTCGGAATCCCAATGGGCCTCATCTTGAGATGGTTTGGGAAAGTCCCTTGTGGTAACTCTCCTGGTACCATTTTTAGGATGTCTCCAGCTGTGGGTTCATTCAGATGGAACACAGAAGAAACTAAAACTGTTCAGATCTTTGATGCAAAGACTTCTATATGAGCAGATGGTGAAAAATGAAAATGATTCCGGTCTGCAGAATAGTTTATATTAAAAAGCAGAGACAAATTCAGGCTTTGTCATTTCAAATCACAATCTGCGTTTCACTGGTGGTGTGAGCATGGTCAAATTACTTAAACTGGTCTGAATATCCTTCTCTGTAGAATGGGAGTAGGATGGAGTAACCACTAGGCCTCAGTGAAGAGTCCATGTAATAGTGCAGATACATGTTTGGCACAATTCTGGGCACTTAGTAAATGCTTGATAAATATGATTTGTGTTCATCTTTTGTCATCTATTAGAGCATATGTGATTATACTTTTAGACAGTTAATTCTTTTTAATGTGACCAAGTACACTGGAAGCAATTTCTTTCAGAGAATTCGTTGCTGAGGCTAACAATTATTACTGTCAGTTTGTTTGATTCTTTCTGGTTTGACAATATTTCTTTTTATCACTATCCCGATAATTTCGCCCAGGCATTTGTTTATCTTATATAGAACTAGTATAACTGATTTTTCCTAGTTCCTTCTCTCACTGTAAATAACTTAGCAATCCCACATTTTGCTGCCTAATGAGTCATCCTATAACTTTGCTTGTATTTGGGAACTTGCTTGCTAGAAGACTTCGGTATTGTCCTCACCTAAACTAAAGCCTTAGCACCTTAGCCTGACATTGACTCCTCTATGATCTACCCCACTTTTGCCTTTATGCATTCCTATCCTATCAGTGCCATTCTGTGCCCTCCACTCTGGCCAGTTGACCCTACATGTGACAAATATTCTTATTTCTGCGCCTCGGTACATACCCTACCCCTGGAATGTCATCATTCTGTAAACTGCTAAACTGTAACCACCCTCCTATTAGAACCTCAACAAATTCCCCTCTAGGAACTTGCCTTGCTTTCTGGCACCATGGTAAGATTCCCCTAAGCAGCATTTTTATTTCCCTAGTGCTGCTACTTACTTTAATTAACCTGAGGAGCCCATGTTTTGATTTCAAAACATTCATGCTTCTATCATCCATAACCCTTTTGCATGTAACAGTCCCTCAAGAAATATTTTTGGCTGTTGAATAAACAAATGAGTGAGAAACACCCAGTGGCTTTTCCTTATCAGTAACTTTCATTTACCTAAGGCAGTGGCAGTGTTGAGGAAGAGTGGCAGGAAGAATCGGGAGTTTTCAAATTCTTTCCCTGACATTGGTTTGGTCTCTGTAAATGTGAAAATTACCAAAGCTCTCAGAATTTTGGTTTTCATAGTTCAGCAGATGGCCGAGCTTACAGAGCAGTAGGGGTCTGCATTCATTCATTTGAAATAAACTCATATGTGGTTCAGGTTCCTCCCATGTGCTGTGCTATTCACGGAGCCAGTTGTTGGAGATACAAAAGTATATATGATATTATCACTGCTTCCAGGATTTCAGAATATAATGGAGCTAAGGGGCTCAAACATTTCTCTGGCATTTGGAAGACTCTAATGTACTAGGTCCAGCATTAGGGTCTTCCAAACCTAGCCTCAGAGTGACTGCCACATAATCGATTAACCTAATGAGTAGGAGATGCACTTATAGGAAAGAAGCAGCCATATTCCAGGATCAAGCTGTGGATTCCCAGCACCACCACACAGGCTTTCTCTGAAGCAGAACAAAAGTATAGTTAGTTCTATGCCTGTATCTTCTTTAAATCAATGCCTGCAGGTGGCAGACTCCCAAGGTAGGTGTTCAGTTCTGCATTCAGGATAGCCCACTTTTGGTCCTTTCAGTTTAGTCTGAATAGTACTTCTATGTATTAGTCCTGAATAGTACTGCTAGAAAACTGTTTTTTCTGATATTATAAGGGAAACATGCATATTTTATCTGCACACCTAACATCCTGTCACTATCAACAGCTAAAGGGACAGTGAGAATGCAAGAATGTGGCAGGAAGGAGGGTATTTCACCTCTTTGTGAAGCTCAGAGAAGCAGATTCCTGTCTCTAGTCTCCCTCCATGAGCCTCAGGGACAAAGGACAATTTTGTGTGATCCACTCTACCTAAACCCCTCCTCTTACCAGCTCCCTTGGGTCTTCCTGAGAATGCCCTTTTGTGGCCCATACACCAAGGGAACTTCCCTTTTCTAAAGTTAGGAAATTCAGACAAAGCAGGAAGTAAAGGTTACTTGATCAGGGACAGTAGCTTTTCCTTCAGAGGCCACCAGATGAACATGCAGTGACTGGAAGTTACATTTCTGAGTTACTGCTCCTGGATGGAATGTTTATGATCCTGCCTAGGAAATGTCAGGGCATCAGCTCAGCCTCCAGGCAGAAACAGACTCTTCTTGCCAAGAGTGCTTTTAGTTCCACTTCCACCCCCAGAGCAAGCATGACAAACTGATCAAGGCAGAGAGAATGGTGCTGCCAGAGCAATTATGGGCTCCCAGGGTCCAGGACAGACTGAGGCAGAAAGGCAACACCACACTGGCATTTCCATTAAGAGAGTCAGATAGTGTCTGGCAGAACTGAATGAGGGGAAACACACCACCAACTTTTAGAAGACTCAAGTGATGAAGACAATACAGACTGCAGTTTGGTAACTTGCAGACTGAGACTTAGCAATAGGTGCTCTGAAGTAGTAAGGGCCCTATAGGGAGAAAATGATGTGATGTCCTAGAATAGACAGTAGCAACCTCTGTGACCCCTGGAAGAGGATCCAAAGGCTATCTCCATGGGATTCATACTGAGAAAGGATTATCATCAGCCTAAAGATGAGGAAGATGGATGTTAGAAACCCACCAATTTTTAGATAAAAGAGCATTGGTAGAACCAATGGTATTATTCCATGATCACTATGGAGTATGTGTTCAGATATTCTCAGAAAAGGTATTAGTCATTTTCATAAAGTCCTAAGTTAAAGAACAACTCTTGAGCTACACAGACAGAACTATTAAAGGCATGTCTAATGCCCAAGACTAATGCCTGTATTAGACCAAAAAGGCTCATTTTTACTACAAATTTAATTCTGTCAGATATGCTTCAGGTTACTTCTGTGCATGCAGTAGTTTGTACCTTCCTGAATTATAATATGTAAAACAAAGAGAATAAGAATGAAAGTGACACTTAGAAACATATGGTTGGACTACTCAGCAATTCATTAACCTCCATTTTTTTTTGCCACACCCAAGAAACACACCACCAAGTATCAACGTAAAATACATAGCCAATCTTTTCATTTTTATTGCTTTAATACACACGGTTTAATTATCAGTTGAACAAATTCTTAATGAGCTACAGAGTGACATGAGTTGAAATTAGAATAAAGTAAAATAATACTATATAACCAAAACAAACCCACTGTTACATGTGTGAAATAATGCAATCAAGAGCACAATTAAAAAAATTATTAATTCAGTTAAACACAAAAACATACAGGATTTCAGACAAGGAGTATTTGGGTTTCTGTGTCAATGTCATAGGATAATAAAGAGCTGTTTCGATTTCTGGGTAAATAATTCATTTTTATTGATTGGCAAAAATACCTTAAGAATAAATCTGGATCAGAAAGACTTACAGTGTTTTTGCCAAATTGTATCTATAGCCAAAGCACAAAACTGCTTTAAACTGGTCATTAATATAATGGGCAGTTCATTCAATCACATTCTGTCTCTGCAGAGCAGGGTAAAATGTACAAGCAAGATGCTTAGAAGTACCTCAAGTGCCACTAAACTTAAGCTCCCAAGATATTGCTGCAATAAACGTGACTGTTATGAATCGCTTACTTTTATTTCATCTCAGAAATTCTTAGTTTAAATCTGCTTTTATCCTAAATTATAATGTGCATATTACCTTCAGAGAGGTCACTAAGTTTAAGCTGTCGAAGTTGTTGCTTGTAATAGTACATAAAGTAAGTGAATTTTTTCCCCAAGTTGCTATGAAACTAAAACCATAATCAAAATGGAAAACAGGGGCATCTGGAAATCTTTCTCTGGAAGTTTTAATTCATATTTAATCACCCAACTTGCCCAAGAAAATTTTGTTTTAAGCCTCAATTATTAGGTACTAAATTGGGCATAACATATGTCTACTTCTGCTTTCAGGGACTTGTTAGTCACGGATGTGGAGGAGAAACCATTATGCTGTCATTTAGATCTAAGGAAATTTTCTTTGGAGAGACTGTACCACATGAGAAAAATTTGCAAAATCAACAAATAGCACAGCTTAACCCTGCAAGACAGTTGCTGAAGTTCTCATATTTATATCCCCATGGACACCATATATGCTAACATATAAGAATAGAGCATTATAATGGCATAAGATTTGGCAAGCAATGGAACACGATTTTTATAGCAGTTTAAAATTTTATGTTTAAATATTCAGGAAGGAGGAAAGTTCTGTTTGAGAGCAGGGACTAACATCTCTGACTTACTCCTTTGCTTTATTGATAAACAATCCAGTACAAATCTACTGTTAAAAGCCCAGGTCAAAGAATTCCCTTAGTAGAAGCTCCACTTTCAGTGAACACCACAAAAAGGTTCAGGTAATTTACTCAGATGGGAAATTGATGTGACATACCTAAGGTTGGCCTGAGACTGCATAAGCTTGGCTGTCAGAATAGAAAAACAAGACATCCGCAGGGTTTTGAACTATTGATACAACTATTCAAAGGGGGCTTTAAATGTTTAAAGAAGTGTCACAGGACCTCCAAGACAAAATAACCAGAACTAAAAATAACCATTGTTCTTGAAAATGCCAAGGAAATAAACTTTAGAACTGGAAAATATCTCATTTGAAATAAAAACACAGGGACTACTCTGCTAATATTAAATGGCTTTTGTACAAGTTCTCTATTGAAGAAATTTTTAGACAATTGTTAGAAATCTGAGCCTTTTTGAAAGAGAATTTTCTTCTTGAGGGCTTTCCTTTCCTACAGATGGGGATAAACACCATCATGACTACCAGATACATAAAAGTGAAGATCCCAAATATACACATTTCATTGTTCAAAGTAGGAATGCATGTATTTCTTATGTGGCTCCACCATAAGAAATATCACCTAACTCTCCAAGGCCTGAGATTTGAAAGTCTATCCAGCAACATGGGGCAAGAAGAGTCTAGCCTTCAGTTGGCTCTTAAAAAGGCCATGTGTTGTTAAAAGATGAAGTTTACCTGTATTCAGGCACATACTATACACATGTGTGACCATAAAGAAGGAAAGATGTATTTGCTACAATTTGGGTAAATTTCAAATACAGGGAAACTTTATCCTACTACAATAATCCTTGGCCAACACTCTCCTGCAATCTATAATTTTAAACACAGTCACACGTTAGTTAGCAGTAAAAGAGGAAAGAAATGGTGTCAACAAATGGTATTAACCAACACTGAAGATGGGCTGAAACAGACACTTCTACTGAAGCTTTCTTCTCTGTTGCAACAAAAGTAATTAGGCAAGTGTTGCCCTCTTATTTCAGATCACGTAAATAATTTACTTCCCACATAGCTGACACTCTACACTCAGTTATTAGCAGTGAGAATATTTGGCTAATCATTTATCTGCTTTGATTGATGTAAGATATATATTGATATATTTTTAAAGTTTATTTATTTTTTGCTTTTACACAGAAGGCCAGCCAGCATTTGAAATATGTATCTCATTATTAACTGACAAATTCAATTAAAATTTCCAAGAAATCTGGATATTGTGGTGGCTAAAAGTTCAGAACATGGGGTGCAATAAACCTTATTTTAAAGCCAGTGAGACTCTGAGCAAGATTCTCATCCTGTTTAAGCCTCAGTTTCTTTATCTATGGAGTGAATGTCTACCCTATAGGGTTATGTGGAGGATTGAATAAGATGATAGCATTTAATACAAAGCTGGCATGTGAGGGCAAGGATTATTATTTGTTTTGTTATCTAGTATATCCTAAGAACCTAGAATAGTGCCTGGACCATCATAGTTATTTAACAAATAGTCATTAAATATATGAATGTCTGATTACCCAGATTAGCTCTGATATTGGGAAGAATTTCACCTATCATTAATCAGGAGAGTGGCTGAATTTCTGTTTCTCAGCATACAAACAATATTACTAAATCATGCTCAAAGTTTGTGTAGTTCATTCTTTTGCCTTCAACATGACTTCACTAAACCACCAAACTGTCAAGACAAGCGTCTCATTCTATCCTTAATGTTTTCCTCAGGAGGGCTGCCTAATCTTCATAGAACGAAAAAACTCTTCCCTCTTCTGTCTATGAAAACTAACTGCTTCTGCATCTACCCCTCTCTTACCATTCCCTACCTCTGGCGTGTACTTATTTTTCGTCCTTTTAGACTACTCGGTATTGTCTCAATTTTTCTCCAACTTACCAAACTCATATTGAATATCAATCCATGTGTTTTGTTCCCACAAATCAGTGGGGACTGCTAGATGCCATAATTCAGCCAAGCAGTCATGAAGCATCTCATCTCAGGATAAAACTTAAGGTCAGCCCCACAGCCAGTCTATTGCCTGCAGATGGGATTCTGGTCAGATTGAGTTCCATTTGGAAAGAGTTCTCTCCATTAACATTATTTTCTTTTAGAGTGTCCAGAAATGGATTCTGTCTTGTCTGTTAGGGGGAAAATATTCACATGCAAGAAGACTAGTGTTTTAAACTGTTCTGTATTTTGCTTTAATAGAAGATATGTTCTTTTTCATGTGAATCCGTTAAAATGGCAAAAAAGTATTTAATATTTTAATTAGTCTTTCTTTCTCTTTGAGATGTCTAAGATTGTCTTAGTAGCCTCATTCCAAACATTTTTAGTTGCAACTAGTTTTAATAGCATCCACATTTTCTTTCCTAATTAGAACCAAAATGCCCAAATATAAACTCTCAAACTGCTATTGTTATTAGTCCTGGCTTATTTGTTTGGTGGTAAAATGGAATATACTAACGCTAAACGTATCATAATGGTATGAGAAGAGTCATAAAGAAAGAAGTGAAATTTTCATCTAAATAAGTGTTCTTTCCTGGTATGTGACATATAATAAAAACAGTAACATCTCAGGTGGCAGAAATTTTCCTTCTTTACTTAAAAATTATTAAAATAATATAACAATTGTGTTATTTTTAACTAAAATATTTCTGACTTTACAAACAGAAAAGATGAATATTTGATTCCTAAATATATAATAGGCAAGTTGTCTTTGCAAAAAAATAGGCCAACAAAAGAAAGTACAGATTTCATTCAAATTGAGATTCTGGTGCCTACTTCACCAACCTAGAGAACTACTTACAATGAAACTAAAAGAGGCTGTCCTTTCTGCAGTGAGTTCACAAAAGAATGGTTGGTACCACTATGAAGTCTCAGATCCTGTTCCACTCGTTCTGCCACTATGCAGAAATCTGTAGCCATGGGAACCCCAACCTCTAGGACAGAAATGTACATTTGACACCAAAAAAATTAAGAATGTTTTTGGGGAATAGAAAGACTAAAGGAATAATGCTGCTAGAAATTAAAATTCATAATTTTGACTAAAACTCTGAAAAATATATTAGCCAATTAATAACTGGGATAGAGATGAGAGATGGGAGAGATATTTTTGGTGCACCGAAGAAGAGGAAAGGGCATTAACTGGAGTAATTTGCTGTGATGGGCAGTCCCAGTTGAACTATTTCGGTAGGAAATTGTTATTAGTTACCAGAGGATACCTTGCCCAGAGGTGGGTGAAATGAGACTACCCTCAAAGTGAAGGTTTAGGAAGCCCTTGAAGTCACTTACCTTGTTGTTACATGTTAGGCATTTTAGCCACTCATTATTTAATTTGAGGAGTATTAATTATTTGGTTTGAAGGTCCAAATTGAGCACTTAATTGTATGTTAACAATTTAAGCTTGAAATTGAAAACAGATGGCCTTTGAAGGTAAAGGTGTCAAGAATGCCAGACTGTGGCCGGGCACAGTGGCTCACGCCTGTAATCCCAGCACTTTGGGAGGCCGAGGCGGGTGGATCACGAGGTCAAGAGATCGAGACCATCCTGGTCAACATGGTGAAAGCCCCGTCTCCACTAAAAACACAAAAAAATTAGCTGGGCATGGTGGTGCATGCCTGTAATCCCAGCTACTCAGGAGGCTGAGGCAGGAGAATTGCCTGAACCCAGGAGGCAGAAGTTGCGGTGAGCCGAGATTACACCATTGCACTCCAGCCTGGGTAACGAGCGAAACTCAGTCTCAAAAAAAAAAGAATGCCAGACTGCAAGAATGGTTGTCTCTGTGTAGCTTGGAGGCCCTTATTCCCTGTACGTAAGAGATTTTTATGGGGAATGAATATATTATATTGATCCTATATTAAGAGATTTCAAAGGCGAGAAGGCACACTTGTGAATGCAAAGACTATATTGTTTTTTTCTAATACATTTGTAGTTTGCACTCATATAATAAACATAAACAATGAACAAATTAGCTTAGAAATTTAGTGTTTGAATTTTTTCTTGACCCAAGAACTATTCAGAAACTCACTTGAAAGAAACATTTTACTCCAATAATTTTAATTTGTGATAAATGAAAGGGAATGATTTCTATTTCTCACTTTTTTATATTTGATAAAAATTTTCAAATTTCTCTAATTAGGCAAAGACCCTTTTGTGGATTATTATTTCATCAATATTTTTGAAATTTTAATTCTAATTTCAGTCTAACATTTGGCAGGGATGCTGGTGGATATCTAGGGATGGAACTGCACTTATGGATCATAACCACCTGCTCCTCCCTCTCAAGCAATGTTTTTCCCAACATAAATGGATTTGAATAAAAAAGAAAGGTAAGTTCTTATTAGCAGGATCAAGCAAATGTATTATCAGAGGAAGCACCAATCTCTGTGATGAGACATCAAAAGTACATAGATGGATCACCAAATTATCACTCTCATTAAGGAATTTCTGGCATTCCTGTCAGAAGAAATATCTAAATATAAATGTGTCATGCTTGTTGATTAACTACAAAATAGATTTATTAATATCTTGCTGCTAGTTTTTCTCGCATATAAGCATTTGTTTTTATCAGCAGGTTTGAATCAAACTAAATTTTGAAATGCTGCCTGCTGCAGGAATTCACTGAGGTGGACAGATGCCTTTTTCAGCTCTATGCATTTTGTTTTTATGGCACCATTGATTACTACAGCAGATTAACTCCTGGGACATTCATTGAGTTAAAATTTTCATTATTTTGTTTAATTATAGTTTGCTTTGAGCTAAGCTGAAAATCTGCCTTTGTTAAAGAGGAGAACTTGTTCACATCTCACTTTGGATGAGTTTGTGTCGTTTGTAGGGACATGGATGAATCTGGAGAACATTCTCAGCAAACTGACACAAGAACAGAAAATGAAATACCGCATATTCTCACTCATAGGCGGGTGATGAATAATGAGAACACATAGACACAGGGAGGGGAGTAGTAAAAACTCGGGTCTATTGGGGGGAAAAGGGGAGGGCCAGTGGGGGTGGGGGAGCTGGGGAGGGATAGCCTGGGGAGAAATGTCAAATGTGGGTGAAGGGGAGAAAGGAAGCAAAACACACTGCCATGTGTGTACCTATGCAGCTGTCTTGCATGTTCTGCACATGTACCCCAAAACCTAAAATTCAATAAAATTTTTTTTTTAAAAAGTCATTTTTATCAAAGAGATGGAAGATATTTGGTAATTGTTAGGCTGGGCTCAAACTCCTGACCTCATGCTCTGCCCACCTCAGCCTGCCAACCTGCTGACATTTACAGGCATGAGAAACTGTGCCCGGCCCAGTTACTGTATAATTTCAAGTTACTTCTGTTCTTTTGGTGTCCAATACTGCATGTTCTAAACTCCAACATGTGGAAAGATGATGTCGGGTCAAGTGAACATTGGATTTTCTACATGAGATGCTTATAATTCTTGGGCATGTGGCTTTAGGAGCTAAGATACACAGTTGGTAGTTTGGTGATTTAAAAAAAAATTCCATACAGCTGGTAGTTGGTGATTAAAATAAAATTCATTTATCCACTAAATTATAAACTTATACTTCTTTCTGGAAGAAGGATGTAACACAGCTGTCACTCTTGTAACATCTACACTTAAAGCAGAAAATGATGGGAGCATTTCAATAAAAGAGTCTCTATTTGCCTCAATAATCTAGATAGTTCTGAAAAACAGAATCATCTGAATTCCCTAATTCCCTTCTTCACTGCCTTTTATTCTGGGGTGTGAATTCTGTTCAAAATAGTTATTGTAGGACAGTCTATAGTGTAAAACGGGGAGGAGTTTATTGCCTTCACCTCCCAGGTAGTTCATACTGAACTCAGGCAATCCAGCTACCTGGAAAACTGAAATAATTCATTACAAGAAATTTAACACTTCCTCTGTAATTAATAACCTATTAAATAGATCCTTCTTTTCCCATACAATTATGCTTAAGATTCCACACATATCATACTCTCAATATTTATGCTTTCATATGTTTCATGCATCCTTTCACCCAAACCAGTCCTCCTAATAGCAACTGGTATTGTATGTAAAATAATTTTTTTCTCATCAATCTAAGCTTACATCATTGTCGAGACAACTCTCATGGCAATGGGAATGTTTTACAAGCAGAAAGTTACAATATAATATTATTATGATAATGTAGAATAGAAAATGTTTTCTTTTAAAAAAATCTGTGAATCAGAACTTTAAGAATGAGAAAACATGAAAACAAAACTTGCCTCCATGAAGGAGTTTCTATTAAGGGCACTTTGTGAAAGAAAGAGGGGTGGGGTCTTGGGGGGGGCACGGAGAGAGAGAATGAGAGAGAGAGGTACACTATACTCTAAAACTATTATGAAGTCCATTATGAACTCAACTAGGAATGAACATAATGACTGGAGTTATAAATGACCCCAGTGACTTTTATTTAAAAGAGTGTTATTGAAATTACTCCAGCTTCATTGCCATTAACTTTGCTTAATAGTTCAATGGTACAATTCATGAGGTTATATTTTACTCAATGCCAAAAGGTTTTCTAACTTGGAGTTTCCTTTTAATTACAATTGCAAGCTGATAAAAATGTATTTTTATATTCGTAAAAATAGAGTCTTAGAGAACTTGCACTTCTATTGTTATCAATATAACTCACACTGGGATACAGTTTGGTATCTCATTTCCCCAGTGGGTGATAAGTCTTCTTACACATGCATATTCTGATAGATCTAACCCTCAAAAGTGCAGAACTCTCTAACACAATGGAAACCCTAAAGGTGTGTATGTGGCATCAGAACTCATTGTAACTTTCATAATGTTAATAAAGCATTTCATTAATAACGAACCTTGACCTTCAAAATCCAGCAAGTGGCCTATTTTGATTAGTTTATAATGGATGTTAGCTTAAAAAGTTGACAATGAGTACAGATATCTAGAGATTAAAAGTTTTTTTTTTAAGAAACAAAAAACAGATTCTGTATGATTCATGGAAGAAATGTATGTAGGAATCATACATTTCTGCCAGGTTAGGTGCCAGGTTAGATCATGTAAAGAAAGTATGGAGATGAAATGGGAAAATATTTCATATAAGTCTTTTGCTTCTATTAAAAAACCAAGTCAGGAGCTCATGTTAGTGTTTTAATTGAAAATATGAATGGTAAATGTACTTGAAGTATTACAGATAAACAGGACTCTCTTGCATCTCCTGTGTTTATTTGGTAATGAACAGTAGATAATCTTTGTGATGGGAAAGACTGAATGATATGTGATAATTTCATTCATTCAACAAGCAAATATTCATTATTAGGTGGTGATCATACAGAAATGACAATGACATGATCCCAAATATATATTGTTTATGTTGATTTAGCGCCCAATATTTTATGTTATTTGTGAGTTAAACAGCAAAACTTAGTGAAATTACAGAACTTATCAAGTGTAAAATAAAGCAGTGTGGTTAGCCAGGAATTTGTCATATAGGCACTATATGTAGCATAGTGGTTTCAGTAGACTTGTCTTCCTCTAAATTCACTCATGACTTGCACTGGATGGATTTTTTTCTTTGCTGAGCCTCGTCTGACAGCTGCACATGTTTCCTCTGGCTTCTCTCTTTTAATCAAGGGTTTTTTTGCAGGAGCCTTCATTCTCCACATCACAACTGGGTGTCGAGGCCCGGCAGGACTCTGGATTCGGATGATCTTGGTTGAGGCAATGTAAGACATTTTCACTGTTTGCACCACAGCATTCATTAAATTTTTAGCTGCTTGGATCAGGGAGGTGACACTGTCCAACTGTTGGGGTGTGGGGGGGGGGAAGAAAAAAGGGCTATTATTCCAGAATGCAATAAAAAATGTAAAGAGATGTAATGTTATAGAAGCTAAAGAATACCACCTTGCTTTAACCCCAGGAATGAATGAATTAATCTTTTTTTATATAACTATGTATAATTATCTATATCAATCAATACATCTATTTTTGATCATTTTCTATTAATCTGATATATCAATGGATCCACGATCTATCTTCTAAGATACTATCATAGAGAGATTAATTCCTTTCTCCTGGCTTTCAGTGATATCATATAAACTCTTCAGGGCCCCAATCCACATAATACAAGGCCAGATGGTCACTCTTTTCTTTGTAATGGATCTTTCTATTTCCAGGAGAGAATCCTGAGCTCTTTCTGTAACACAGGATTATCTGCAATAAAGTCTATAAATAATTTTATACAAACAACAATTGAGAATTCTCCTCAGGGAATAGTTTAAGATAATGGGGCTCTATAGTCAAATGAAATTGAGTTTAAATTTCAGGTCTGCAATTTGGAGAAATCATTTAACCATTTTTGCCCTAGTCCTTTCACTATTAAATAGAAAAAGTTTATTAAAGGAAAAGTAATGCATGTAAATAAACTAGTAGGGTAACTGCCAAATAGTTGATTTTAATTAAATATTACTTCCTTTTTTACTATGAAAACTGACAAAATTGCTTAATGATAAACATGCATTAATAAGATTAAGAAAAGAAATATTTTTCCACATGATTCTGTTTTTGTTAATATTTCTAGTTTGGGTACACAGCCAATCTCAAGGAAAAATAAAAAGGTATTCCTAGAATCTTATAAAATACCTTAGCACTAAGCTAATTCTTTTTTCTTCCTTTGGAGACCAAGTCTTGCTGTTGTCACCCAGGCTGAAGTGCAGTGGTGCATCTCGGCTCATTGCCTCCTGGGTTCCAACAATTCTCCCACCTCAGCCTTCCAAGTAGCTGAGGTGCCTGCCACTAGGCCCAGTTAAGTTTTGTATTTTCAGTAGAGATGGGATTTCACCATGTTGGCCAGGCTTGCCTCAAACTCCTGACCTTAAGTGGTCCACCTGCCTCAGCCTCCCAAAGTGCTGGGATAACAGACGTGAGCCACTGAGACCAGCTAGTTGGTTCATTTTTATACAACCAATATCTCTTGCATTATTTTAGCTTGGCAGATTGTCATCCACCGCCAACTCATACAGGCAGATTTGCCTCCACTGTCACCCCTCTGTGATGCGTGCTGTCAGGGTTGAGATTCAAACACTGGCGCTGTAATTACTAAAATCCATCTGCAGCTGCCTGGCCTGAGTACTCTACCTTTGCTGTTCAAGGAGTCTTTTCTCACATACAGAATAAATGAGCAGAGGAAAGGAGTAAGTTGAGGTTATGTGCCTGAGGCAGTGGCCTGCCTGGCTGCTTCCAGAGAAAAAAATTTTAATTAACTCCATTATGTGCCAAACCTGAAATCCTTGAAAAGGTAACTGCAAAAATATGTAATGTGAAAGGGAGTAATACTTGGCAACTGCACGTCTTTAAGTCTTTTTACTTTTTGAAGCCAGAAATATAAAATCTGTGCATGTGGCAGGAATGACAAATGTTTTACAAACATTAAAAAGGATTTCATGAAGAACTCAAATGTATTTTGGAGGACATTTGGAGCTTCTGAATTTGTATGCAACTTAAAAGCATACTAGGCTTTGAATAGAATAATACATTTTGTTATTAAATTACTCCACAGACAGATCGCAAGTTCAAATCTGTCTTTTAATAATTAGCAAAACCTCCTGGAATCCAGATTTTGCTGGGTTAATCATTATGATGGGTTTCCAATCCCACCACAGAAATAAGCCAGTTTTTCTAAATGGGGTGATAAAAGGAATACTGTTGAGAATCTTTGGTAATACTATTGCTCAAACATGAAAATACTGGGTTTGTCCTAAAGGCTCTACACCATCACAAAGTCATTTTGGAAGCAGGTCACAAGGACCTCGTGTCATTGAGGATTTCACCAGTGACTTTGGTCTTATTCTATAACTTATATTCTGCTTTCTTCCTTTTAACCCTGTAATTTTGTCTTGTACGCTTTGCATTTATTTCATTTCCTTTTGATTTTTTTAAATTGTATTTGGGCTCTGGGGTACATGTGCATGTCCTGCATCCTGCAGGATTTTTGCATAAATACATACATGCCATGGTGGTTTGCTGTCTCCATCCCCCTCAACCTGTTGCCTACATTAGGCATTTCTCCCAGTGTTACCCCTCCCCTCCACCCCCCAACCTAGCCCTGTGAGTACTGTTCCCTTCCCTGTGCCCAAGTGTTCTCATTGTTCATCGCCCACTTATGAGTATTTGGTTTTCTGCTCTTGTGTCAGTTTGCTGAGAATGATGGTTTCTAGGTTCATCCATGTCTCTACAAAGGACACAAACTCATCGTTTTTTATGGCTGCATAGTATTCCATGCTGTATATGTGCCGCTTTTTTTTTTTGTCCAGTCTATCATCAGTGGGCATTTGGGTTGGTTCCAGGTCTTTGCTATTGCAAACAGTGCCACAGTGAACATACGTGTGCATGTGTCTTTATGATAGAATGATTTATAATCCTTTGGATATATACCCAGTAATGGGATTGCAGGGTCAAATTGAATTTCTATTTCTAGGTCCTTGAGGAATTGCCACATTGTCTTCCACAATGGTTGAACTAACTTACACTCCCACCAATAGTGTATAAGTGTTCCTATTTCTCCACATCCTCTCCAGCATCTGCCTCCAGATTTTTTCATGATTGCCGTTTTAACTGGCATGAGGTGGTATCTCAATGTGATTTTGATTTGCATTTCTCTAATGACCAGTGATGATGAGCATTTTTTGCCACCCTCATATTTGTCTTCATTTGAAAAGTGTTCATATCCTTTGCTCACTTTTGAATGGGTTTGTTTTTTTCCTGTAAATCTGCTTTTGTTCTTTGTAGATTATGGATATTAGCCCTTTGTCTGATGGGTAGACTGCAAAAACTTTTTCCCATTCTGTTGGTTGCTGGTTTACTCCAATGATTGTTTCTTTTGCTGTGCAGAAGCTCTAAAGTTTAATTAGATCCCATTTGTCTATTATTTTGGCTTTTGTTTTCAATGCTTTTGGTGTTTTAGTCATGAAGTCCTTGCCTGTGCCTATATCCTGAATGGTTTTGTCTAGGTGTTCTTCTAGGGTTTTTATGGTGTTAGTTCTGAAGTTTAAATATTAAATCCATTGGGTGTTAATTTTTTGTACAAGGTATAAGGAAGGGGTCCAGTTTCCCAACACCATTTATTAAACAGGGAATTTTTTCCCCATTGCTTGTTTTTGTGAGGTTTGTCAAAGATCAGATGGTTGTAGATGTGCGGCATTGCCTCTGAGGCCTGTGTTCTGTTCCATTGGTCTATGTCTCTGTTTTGGTACCATGCTGTTTTGATTACTGTAGCCTTGTAATATAGCTTGAAGTCAGATAGTGTGATGCCTCCAGCTTTTTTTTTTTTCTTCTTAGGATTGTCTTGGCTATGTAGGCTCTCTTTTGGTTACATATGAAGTTTAAAGTGGTTTTTTTCAACTTCTGTGAAGAAAGTCAATGGTAGCTTAATGGGGATAGCATTGAATCTGTAAATTACTTTGAGCAGTATTCAAGAATCAATATTTTCACAATATTGATTATTCCTAACCATGAGCATGGAATGTTTTTCCATCTGTTTGTGTCCTCTCTTATTTCCTCGAGCAGTGGTTTGTAGTTCTCCTTGAAGAAATCGTTTACCTCCTTTGTTAGTTGTATTCCTAGGTATTTTATACTCTGTGTAGCAATTGTAAATGGGAATTTGCTCATGATTCGGCTCTCTGTTTGTCTGTTATTGGTGTATAGGAATACTTGTGATTTCTGCACATTGATTTTGTATCTAGAGACTTTGCCGAACTTGCATATCAGCTTAAGGAGGTTTTGGGCTGATATGATGGGGTCTTGTAAATATGTGATCATGTTGTCTGCAAATCAGGACAATTTGACTTCTTCTTTTCCTAATTGAATGCACTTTCTTTTTCTTGCCTAATTGCTCTGGCTAGAAGTTCCAATACTATATTGAATAGGAGTGGTGAGAGAGGGCATCCTTGTCTAATGCTGGATTTAAAGGGAATTCTTCTAATTTTTGCCCATTCAGTATGATATGGGCTGTGGGTTTGTCATAAATAGCTTTTATTGTTTTGAGAAACGTTCCATTGATACCTAGTTTATTGAGAGGTTTTAGCATAAAGGCTGTTGAATTTTGTTGAAGGCCTTCTCTGCATCTATTGATATAATCATATGGTTTTTGTCTTTGGCTCTGTTTATGTGGTGGATGACGTTTATAGACTTGAGTATGTTGAAGCAGCCTTGCATCCCGGGTATGAAGCCTACTTGATTATGGTGGCTAAGCTTTTTGATGTGCTGTTGGATTCAGTTTGCCAGTAATTTATTGAAGATTTTTACATCGATGTTCATCATGGATATTGGCCTGTAGTTTACTTTTTTTAGTTGTGTCTTTGCCAGATTTTGTTATCAGGATGATGTTGAGATTATAGAAGGAGGTAGGGAGGATTCCCTCTTTTTGTATTGTTTGTAATAGTTTCAACAGGAATGGTACCAGCTCCTTTTTGTACATCTGGTAGAATTCAGCTGTGAACCCATCTGGACCTGGACTTTTTTTGGTTGGTAGGCTATTACTTGCTGCCTCAACTTCAGCGCTTGTTATTGGTCTATTCAGGGTTTCCACTTACTTCTTGGCTTAGTCTTGGGAGTGTGCAAGTGTCCAGGAATTTATCCATTTCTTCCAGATTTACTGGTTTATGTGCATAGAGATGTTTGTAGTAATCTGTGATGGCAGTTTGTATTTCCAAGGAATTGGTGTTGATCTCCCCTTTATTGTTTTTTATTGCAGCTATTCTATTATTCTCTCTTCCTTCTTATTAGTCTAACTAGCGGTCTGTTTTGT